TTTTAGTTTACCTTGAAAAGCTTCATAGAAAACACCGACCTCACCTAACCTTCTTAGTATGTTAAGATAAGCATCTTATTGCTTCTTATTTACAATTATTACTTAACCTATACCCTTGTATAGGTGACTTAATTTTTTTTTCACTTTATATTCTAAGAGAAATAGTAAAAAAAAAAATTCCCCATTTGGGTTTAGTTCTTGACGGTTGAGTATTTATTTAGATTTGAACAATTTGTAAATTATCATTAATATCATTAATTATCTTTAATTAAATGTAATTGATAATTATAATCAGTCCGTTGTCTCAGTGCCTCCCAGGGTTAAAGATGCAGTGGTTTAGCTTAATCCAAAGCGTCAACAGGTGTATAGCCAGACCACCCAGCCCATGTTTGAGCCATTACTACGCGTCTCACCTCAGTACTTCGGTGTCTTTAATGTCCATAAACCACCACAAATTTTACGGTGACGGCAGAAACGTACAGAAATGGGCGCTCGGTAAGAGGAAGGATTTGAATATATGTTGTTGCCTCTGGCTCAGTTATAGTCCTGACGCCAGATTCATGAAGCAGTTACGCAAGTACTTACGAACGTGTACATCTTTCCTCAATCTTTGGCGGCTTTGTTTACATTTCCTCAATCTTTGGCGGCTTTGTTTACATTTCCTCAATCTTTGGCGGCTTTGTTTACATTTCCTCAATCTTTGGCGGCTTTGTTTACATTTCCTCAATCTTTGGCGGCTTTGTTTACATTTCCTCAATCTTTGGCGACTTTGTTTACATCTTTCCTCAATCTTTGGCGGCTTTGTTTACATTTATTAAACAGTTTACAAGCATGGGTGGAAGCTGGAAACTCGGATGAGTCACAGAGATGTTAGGAAGTTTTCTTTTAGCGTGAGAGTAGTGGAAAAATGGAATGCACTTAAGGAGCAGGCGAAAACTTGCCAATCAACTGTTGTTATTGTTATAAACAGCCTCCTGGTGCTTCCGAGCTCATTAACTGTTTAATAATTGTAAACAAAGCCGCCAAAGATTGAGAAAAAGATATACACGTTCGTAAGTACTTGCGTAACTGCTTCGTGAATCTGGCCCCCTGGGAGTTTTGTTTCCTCTCAAGGGCTATACACACCGAGAGGTATACCCCAGCTTCTTGGTGTATACTTTGAGAATTTACCTAAGTCCAGGACTGAAGTATAATTGCTGGTTGGTCAGTAAGACTCCAGACTGACTTTTAAGTTGCTGTTGTTGTTAAAGATTCGCTACCTGGAACCAAAAGTTCCAAGTAGCACGGGCTATGGTGAGCCCGCAGAGTTGACTTTTAAGGCTCCAGGCTTTATGAGCCCAACACCGCGCTACGTTTTATTGTCTTTATTCTCAAGAGAAATAACAATGGTTCTCATGTTTGGGTTGTAGAAGGTAGAGTTTGGGTTGTAGAAGGTAGAGTTTGGGTCGTAGAAGGTAGAGTTTGGGTCGTAGAAGGTAGAGTTTGGGTTGTAGAAGGTAGAGTTTGGGTTGTAGAAGGTAGAGTTTGGGTTGTAGAAGGTAGAGTTTGGGTTGTAGAAGGTAGAGTTTGGGTTGTAGAAGGTAGAGTTTGGGTTGTAGAAGGTAGAGTTTGGGTTGTAGAAGGTTGAGTTTGGGTTGTAGAAGGTAGAGTTTGGGTTGTAGAAGGTTGAGTTTGGGTTGTAGAAGGTTGAGTTTGGGTTGTAGAAGGTAGAGTTTGGGTTGTAGAAGGTAGAGTAGAAGGAAGGGGGTAGAAGGTAGAGTTTGGGTTGTAGAAGGTAGAGTTTGGGTTGTAGAAGGTAGAGTTTGGGTTGTAGAAGGTTGAGTTTGGGTTGTAGAAGGTTGAGTTTGGGTTGTAGAAGGTAGAGTTTGGGTTGTAGAAGGTAGAGTTTGGGGTTGTAGAAGGTAGAGTTTGGGGTTGTAGAATGTAGAGTTTGGGGTTGTAGAAGGTAGAATGTAGAGTTTGGGGTTGTAGAAGGTAGAAGGTAGATTGGGTTGTAGAAGGTAGAGTTTGGGGTTGTAGAAGGTAGAGTTTGGGTTGTAGAAGGTAGAGTTGTAGAAGGTAGAGTGGGGTAGAAGGTAGAGGGTTGTAGAAGGTAGAGTTTGGGTTGTAGAAGGTAGAGTTTTGGGTTGTAGAAGGTAGAGTTTGGGTTGTAGAAGGTAGAATTTGGGTTGTAGAAGGTAGAATTTGGGTTGTAGAAGGTAGAGTTTGGGCTGTAGAAGGTAGAGTTTGGGTTGTAGAAGGTAGAGTTTGGGTTGTAGAAGGTAGAGTTTGGGTTGTAGAAGGTAGAGTTTGGGTTGTAGAAGGTTGAGTTTGGGTTGTAGAAGGTAGAGTTTGGGTTGTAGAAGGAAGGGGGTAGAAGGTAGAGTTTGGGTTGTAGAAGGTAGAGTTTGGGTTGTAGAAGGTAGAATTTGGGTTGTAGAAGGTAGAGTTTGGGCTGTAGAAGGTAGAGTTTGGGTTGTAGAAGGTAGAGTTTGGGTTGTAGAAGGTAGAGTTTGGGTTGTAGAAGGTAGAGTTTGGGTTGTAGAAGGTAGAATTTGGGCTGTAGAAGGTAGAGTTTGGGCTGTAGAAGGTAGAGTTTGGGGTTATAGAAGGTAGAGTTTGGGTTGTAGAAGGTAGAATTTGGGTTGTAGAAGGTAGAGTTTGGGTTGTAGAAGGTAGAGTTTGGGTTGTAGAAGGTAGAATTTTGGTTGTAGAAGGTAAAGCTTAAGGTGAAACATGAACAATAGACAACACACACTCACACTGGAGAAATACTTCCAACAACAAGTTGAGGAACCTGAAATAATTGATCTGGCCTTGCAGGGTGACCCCTCTGTGGGGGAGGCTGGGCAGCCACGCTCACCTCGTGAACAACTGTCCGCTGTATGTGATGACTTGAGATCCCAGCTTCCTGCTTTCCTCCCTCCCTGCCTACTTCCCTCCCTCCCTCCTTACCTTCCTGGTTTTCTTCCTCCCTGCCTGCTTCCCCCCCCCACCCCCCGTTCTCTCAACGTCATCTTATTAATATTCATAATATGAAGACAGCATCTGGAGCCCGCAGGTGAGTGATTAGACGTGCACAAGATACGGCAGGTGAGGGGAGGGTAGGAGCACCGAGGGGAAGGGAGAGAAGGTGAGGGGAGGAGAAGTGTGTGGGTGGGAGAGGTGACGGTATATGAGGAGGGGTGAGGAAAGGTGAGGGGAGCAGGTAAAGGACCATAGTGTAGGGGAAGCGAGAGAGAGAGAGAGAGAGAGAGAGAGAGAGAGAGAGAGAGAGAGAGAGAGAGAGAGAGAGAGAGAATGAATGAGGAGACATGACAATGAAGGGGAGGGAAGGAGACGTGTGAGGGAGGGTGAGAAGACAGGTGAAGGAGAAAGAGGGAAGACAGGTGACGGGGGGGGGAGACAAGTGATGGGGGGTAGACAGGTGACGGGGGTAGACAGGTAACGGGGGAAAGATGGGAGGGGACAGGAGACGGAGGGAGACAGGAGAGACGAGGGAGACAGGTGACAGAAATACAGGTGACGGGGGAAGACAGGTGACATAAGAGACGGGGGTGACAGGGGAGAGAGGCAACTACAATTTAGATTTTGTTGTTCCTGACATTGTGAAGGTCCTGAGGTGGGGGGGCGGGGTCCTGTGTTGGTGCTGCTGCGAGTAGGGGGGGGGGACAGAGGGGCGGAGGGAGGGGGAGAGAGGACGGGGCGGAGGGAGGGAGGGGGGTTTTGCTCATTATTATTTTTCTACCACAGACGTGGCCACCCATTTACAATGCTAATCAGCATATATACATTTCCTTCTGTCCTCCATGGACAGGGTGAGAGATCTGTTAAGCATATAGTTCAGTGATTTATTGAACAATCACCCACAGAAGGTGATTGTAGTGCTTTTAAAATGCTAATCTAACCTACATACATGAGTGCATAGATTTACGTCTGTCCTGCACAAGCAGCGTTCGAGGTATGTTCTTTTACAGTGTCATTTATGTGCGTTTACAAAGGTGCAATGCAATTCTGACCAGCCAACACATTCACTGTATACACATACCCCGTATACACATACCCTGTATACACATACATATTTCTTTCACCTGGGCACTGGTGGGAGACAGAGGCTCTGTCCACTCTAAGATTACCACTAACTGTCTCACACTCATGGGATCGGTAGTTCAAGACGCCTAGTGCCCAAGTGAAGGATGTGTCTCTCCTAATTTGACAGGGAGATTGTTACTCTCTATATATATAGCTGCTATAGAAACTAGTTTGTTATTAAGAACTTATAACCACTGAAGGTGATTAAGGTGCTTTTACAAGCTCAGGTCATAGTTACCTCACACACATTGTATAGGACTCATTCATTGGGAGAGAGAGAGAGAAACTGGCAGGTGGATGGAGGGAGAGAAACTGGCAGGTGGATGGAGGGAGAGAAACTGGCAGGTGGATGGAGGGAGAGAAGAAGGGACGGAGGGAGGGACAGAAGAGGGGACAGAGGGAGGGAGAAGAGGGCAGGAACTGTGGGTTGGCTGGATGAAAGGGGGGTTGGGGGAGGGGGTTAGTCGGAATGGGCAAATGAAAAGGATAGGTGAGGTGTACGATTTTCTGACACGAAGTAGTGTCCCCTCACTAGTGAACAACGACCTTTCATCATACACTATACAGTGAACCCCTGCTGTTTAACGACCTCTCACCATACATCATACAGTGACTCCCCCCCCCCTAGTGTATAATTACCTGTCACCAGACATTATACAGTGCCTCCTCACTTATAACGACCCTCCACCTTACATTATACAGTGACCTCGTGTAAAACGGACTTTTCACCATTCATTAACTACACAGTGATCCCCTTCGTTTACAACGCACGTCACCACACAGTGACGTGCGCCAGTGACGCCTTCACCGTCGTGGCAGGTCACTGTAAACCGTCACTGTGGCTCTCCACCGGGCTTTAGGTCCCACCTGTTGACTCGTGTATAAGTAACTAACAACTGCACCTGCATTCCTTGGGGCTCTTGTGCCCATTATCCTGGCACGCTGAGGGGCTCGGACCTCCGCCCCTCTTGTGGGGGCTCCGACCTCCGCCCCTCTTGTGGGGGCTCCGACCTCCGTCCCTCTTGTGGGGGCTCCGACCTCCGCCCCTCTTGTGGGGGCGAGGACCCTCTGGACCTCTTGAGAGGGGCGAGGACCCTCTGGACCTCTTGAGAGGGGCGAGGACCCTCTGGACCTCTTGAGAGGGGCGAGGACCCTCTGGACGTCTTGAGAGGGGCGAGGACCCTCTGGACCTCTTGAGAGGGGCGAGGACCCTCTGGACCTCTTGTGGGGGCGAGGAACCTCTGGACCTCTTGAGAGGGGCGAGGACCCTCTGGACCTCTTGAGAGGGGCGAGGACCCTCTGGACCTCTTGTGGGGGCGAGGACCCTCTGGACCTCTTGAGAGGGGCGAGGACCCTCTGGACCTCTTGAGAGGGGCGAGGACCCTCTGGACCTCTTGAGAGGGGCGAGGACCCTCTGGACCTCTTGAGAGGGGCGAGGACCCTCTGGACCTCTTGAGAGGGGGGAGGACCCTCTGGACCTCTTGAGAGGGGCGAGGACCCTCTGGACCTCTTGAGAGGGCGAGGACCCTCTGGACCTCTTGAGAGGGGCGAGGACCCTCTGGACCTCTTGAGAGGGGCGAGGACCCTCTGGACCTCTTGAGAGGGGCGAGGACCCTCTGGACCTCTTGAGAGGGGCGAGGACCCTCTGGACCTCTTGAGAGGGGCGAGGACCCTCTGGACCTCTTGAGAGGGGCGAGGACCCTCTGGACCTCTTGAGAGGGGCGAGGACCCTCTGGACCTCTTGAGAGGGGCGAGGACCCTCTGGACCTCTTGAGAGGAGCGAGGACCCTCTGGACCTCTTGAGAGGAGCGAGGACCCTCTGGACCTCTTGAGAGGGGCGAGGACCCTCTGGACCTCTTGAGAGGGGCGAGGACCCCTCTAGACCTCTTGAGAGGGGCGAGGACCCCTCTAGACATCTTGAGAGGGGCGAGGACCCCTCTAGACCTCTTGAGAGGGGCGAGGACCCCTCTAGACCTCTTGAGACGGGCGAGGACCCCTCTAGACCTCTTGAGAGGGGCTAGGACCCTCTAGACCTCTTGAAAAGGCAGAAGAACCTCTAATTTACCTCCTTTATAAGAGACGATCCGTCTAGCAGCTACCTACACCCCCCATTCTCCCCTACATCTTGTAGTACAGCCCAAACGTCTCCCCCTCCCCTCCTCCACTTCCTTCCCCTCATCATCCCCACACCTACACCCCCCTCTCCCCTCCCCTCTCCCAACACCTTTCCCAGCAGCTCACGACACGCGCCCTCCGCCTTACCCTAAGTCCTCCCCAACACTCGCAAATGGGTGAGAAATTCCCAGGCTTACTTAGGAAAAGGGAATCGTCTCCCCCACCCCCCTTCTTCCCTCTCATACCCCGCCCCAACTCCTCTCCTTCCCCCATCTTCCCTCCACTTCCTTCCCCCGTCTCCCCTGTTTAATAATTAATTATTACCTTGCGTAGGTAAATTACCTGCCTGTTGTTAGCCCCTTTTACCCTCCCTCTGGGAGGCCAGACCAGGGGAGAGGAAGGCTAAGAACCAAGAGGTAAACTAAGAAAGATTGATACAAGAGGAGATGGAGATTGAGTAATAAGAGGAGAGAGAGGAAAGGAGACATTCTTAAAGTAAAGAACAACTAGAAAGATGTGATGGAACTTCGAGGAACAGAAGTAAGGAGAAAGGGAAAATGAGAAAAGTAACCAAAATAGAATTAGAGAGGAAGAGGAAGGGAGAGGGTGTGAGAGAAGAGGTCCTGACACCAGGAGGATAAAATGTAATCAGTGACAATGGGAAATTAAAGAAGAGGGTGGAGAGGGAATAAAGAATGATAAGTAGAAGATAAGGACAGAAGGGAAAGCGAGGAGAGGTGAATGAATGAGAATAGCTAATGGATTATGGACGGAGGAGGCTACAGGAGAAGCAGGGGAGGGAGATCCACCCCACCCACCCCTACACCACTACACCCACCCCTACACCACTACACCCACCCCAACACCACTACACCCACCCCAACACCACTACACCCACCCCATGACAATCATTCTTGGAGTCCCAAGAACTGCCAAAACGTCTAATCTACGAGAGGAGTTGTCCCTTCCCAGTATTAAAAGCAGAATTCAGGAGCTGAATGCTAAGCTTGCAATTAAGATAGCCAGAGATCCCCATTACAATGATATTGCCAAGAAAAAACTGAGCTCTGTGCTACTTTCAGGGGGAAACAGGAGAAGCAAAAAATGGCATCACAGAGCAGTCTGCTACCTTGAAGAGCTTCACCTGCTTGAGCAAGCCCGTGAGCTCCTGCCTGTAGAGAGGTTACCTCCCTGGGAGGATGACTCATGCAAGATCATCATCAATGAAATGGCAATGAAAAAATCCAACATGATACCACAAGAAATGAGGCACAAGTATCTCGAGGACATTTATAAAGAAGCCGGAGATGAATTAGATCAAATCTACACTGACGGGTCATCTAATCCTATCAATGGCAGGGCTGGTGCAGCATACACGGTAATCAAGGATAATACCTTCCAACGCAGAAATGAAGACAAAGCACGTATTGAGAACTATGCCTCTTCAACGCAAGCAGAGCTAACTGCCATTGTTATGGCGTTAAGATCCCTTGAACGAAACACTAATGGTGCAGTGATTTGCACCGATTCAAAAGCAGCACTGCAAAGCCTAAGTAAAAATCAGACAGAAAATCTTGCAATAGTCGCTGAAATCAAGAGAGCTGTGAGAGTACTTACCAACCAGGGAAGAGTCATCAAGTTTCTGTGGATCCCCTCCCATGTTGGAATATGTGGGAATGAACGAGCAGATGTGCTGGCTGCTGAAGGCGCTGAAGGAGACCATATTGAATACTTCATACCCAAGACTCAACTACAAATTAGAGGTATTATCAGGCAACATCACCGTGACAAGGTAACTGAGGAAAGGAGGATAGAAGCACAAACCAGTGAATCTGTACGATGGTACAACATGGTTGCAGCTGGCAATCCCAATCAGTATGGCCGAAGAGGAGGACGACGAGGGAGAGAATCTGTAATAGCGAGAATCCGTCTTGGATACAAATATCCATGGAGATTTGGAATGGAAACAACAGCTGATCAGCGAAGTTGCAGCATCTGTGGTGAGAGTGATGGACACCGCCTTGACCACTATCTACGTGAATGTGAACACCTGAGAGATATTAGGAATAACTGTAGAATAATAAACCCCACATTGTTTGAGTTAGGAAAACACTTTTTGTCAAATGTTGATACGGTTCTTAAAAGATTTCCCTATTTTGCACCCGCAAGATAACGTAAGCTTTTAAGGGTTGATAAATGTTAATCTTCTTGTTTGAGGAGCTGTTCACTTGAGACAGTTAAGCAAGTCCCAGCTGTGTCTGGGTACAAGTGACAGGATGAACAACCCAGCGGGTTTTCTTCCTATTGGGGAGTGTTGTACATGCTGCTATGGCGGTGTGTTCACTCACAAGATGAGTGGCGCTGCCCAATAAACTCGCCCCTCGGGGCAAAATTAAAAAAAAAAAAAATTACACCCACCCCAACACCACTACACCCACCCCAACACCACTACACCCACCCCAACACCACTACACCCACCCCAACACCACTACACCCACCCCAACACCACTACACCCACCCCTACACCACTACACCCACCCCTACACCCACCCCAACACCACCACACCCACCCCAACACCACTACACCCACCCCAACACCACTACACCCACCCCAACACCACAACACCCACCCCAACACCACAACACCCACCCCAACACCACAACACCCACCCCAACACCACTACACCCACCCCTACACCACTACACCCACTCCTACACCACTACACCCACTCCTACACCACTACACCCACCCCTACACCACTACACCCACCCCTACACCCACCCCAACACCACCACACCCACCCCAACACCACTACACTCACACACACACACCAACACACACCAACACACACCAACTTGATGTATCAGTGAGAAGGTACAGGGAGCTGCAGGGCTGGGATGGAGCCGGCGTCCTCTCTCCCACACACGCACATTGGTTGCTGCCTCACTCCTGCAACTCCAGTGTACAAAAATATACATATATAAATAAATAAATAAACATACACAACACAAAACACTGGCACTACGTCATCTATTTGTCGTCATTAAGAGAGTGATTAGATATATCCATACTGTTGTATGGCTATGTTGACTGCTGAACCCCGATCAACACGGTATTTAAGCTGGTAGATGTTGCCTTCGCATAGGAAGGAAAGGTGCCCAAACACTTGGACCGTCGGGGGATCGAACGCTGACCTGCAAGAAACAAGACCGTCGCTTTACTGTCTAGTCAAAGTAGAGTAAATAAGTTAGAAAAAGTAACAAAATCTAGTCGGAACGCAGTGAACAGCTCGCCTCACTCTCACACTGTTCTTATACATGACTACTCTCTCTCTTTCAGTCTCGCGTCATACCTTGCCAACGACCCCATATTAGCATGAAAATTGTTTGGGCATAAGTCAGGTGTAAATAAAGCCGCTCACACGCAAACTGACAGCAGTATGATTTGCCTCAGTAAGGAATGCCATCATCCCGGATACGGGTAAAAAATTATATCTTCTGCTGGGTACAGGATAGAAGGCACAATCAGATTGCCTGTTACAACACCACACAATCAGAACATTACTCGGCCACCTGTGATTGTCATACTCACTCACAGCCAGCATGAAGGACTGCCAGGGCGTCATACTCATCCTTACTTAGCCTACTGCGCCACAGGGCCCCCTTCACACTATATAGGTGTGTAATCTGGAAGCCTGAAGGTGGATACCCCGACGTTCGAACTTAGATATTCGTCTTTGTTGTCTAACAATTGTCACCATGGTGCTAGTGTTACCATGGTGCTAGTGTCACCATGGTGCAAGTGTCACCATGGTGCTAGTGTCACCATGGTGCTAGTGTCACCATGGTGCTAGTGTCACCATGGTGCTAGTGTCACCATGGTGCAAGTGTCACCATGGTGCTAGTGTCACCATGGTGCTAGTGTCACCATGGTGCTAGTGTCACCATGGTGCTAGTGTCACCATGGTGCTAGTGTCACCATGGTGCTAGTGTCACCATGGTGCTAGTGTCACCATGGTGCAAGTGTCACCATGGTGCTAGTGTCACCATGGTGCTAGTGTCACCATGGTGCAAGTGTCACCATGGTGCTAGTGTCACCATGGTGCTAGTGTCACCATGGTGCAAGTGTCACCATGGTGCTAGTGTTACCATGGTGCTAGTGTCACCATGGTGCTAGTGTCACCATGGTGCTAGTGTCACCATGGTGCTAGTGTCACCATGGTGCTAGTGTTACCATGGTGCTAGTGTTACCATGGTGCTAGTGTCACCATGGTGCTAGTGTCACCATGGTGCTAGTGTTACCATGGTGCTAGTGTCACCATGGTGCAAGTGTCACCATGGTGCTAGTGTCACCATGGTGCTAGTGTCACCATGGTGCTAGTGTCACCATGGTGCTAGTGTCACCATGGTGCAAGTGTCACCATGGTGCTAGTGTCACCATGGTGCTAGTGTCACCATGGTGCTAGTGTCACCATGGTGCTAGTGTCACCATGGTGCTAGTGTCACCATGGTGCTAGTGTTACCATGGTGCTAGTGTCACCATGGTGCTAGTGTCACCATGGTGCTAGTGTCACCATGGTGCTAGTGTCACCATGGTGCTAGTGTCACCATGGTGCTAGTGTCACCATGGTGCTAGTGTCACCATGGTGCTAGTGTCACCATGGTGCTAGTGTTACCATGGTGCTAGTGTCACCATGGTGCTAGTGTCACCATGGTGCTAGTGTCACCATGGTGCTAGTCAATTAAAGTGTGTGAGTGAAAGTAATCCTGTACATGGAAATCCTCCTCTAAGTACAGTTCG